CAATGTTGGAAACAGTTGTGCTGCTTAATATTTTTTGGGACCTGTACTGTCTTCAGGGTTCTTTGATAAATAAAAAGTTCAAAAGAACAGTGTTTATTCAAAATAGAAATTACAATATACACTACTATTCAAAAGTTTGAGGTCAGTCCATTTTTTCTCCTTTCTTTCTTTCTTTCTTTCTTTTTTAAGAATTTAATACTTTTATTCAGCATGGATGTGTTAAATGAATAAAAAGTGATAGAAAAGGCTTATATTATTAGAAAATATTTATATTTTGAATAAACGCTGTTCTTTTCAACTTTTTATTCATCAAAGAATCACAGGTTCCAAAAAAATATTAAGCAGCACAACAGTTTCAACACTGAGAATAAATCAGCATATTAGAATGATTTCTGAAGGATCATGTGACACTGAAGACGCTGCGTCACAGAAATAAATGATACTTTAAAGTATATTAAAACAGGAAACCAATATTAGAAATTGCAATAATATTTCACAATGTTTGTTTTTTCTATATTTTAGATCAAATAAATACAGCCTTGATGAGCATAAGAGACTTCATTAAAAACATTAAAAATCTTAATGATCCCAAACGTTTGAACAGCAGTGTATATATAGAATTATTTTTGTAGCTGCAATTTCAAAAACATTACTGTCATCTGGCTTTTTTTTCATATTGATGGAGTTTAGTGCCACTCTCCAGCACTTCACTCCTTTTCAAAAAGACAACATCCGTAGCTTTGGCTTTAGCTAAGGTCACTCGCTTCTGATATCTGTTGTGCAGCAAGTACACACTCATAATGACTGGACTGCAGGAACTCCAACTCAATTACATACAACCACAGCCGGGATCGATTCTGGACCTTTATCCAGCTGTGAAATTACAGCTCAAAGAAAGATAAATAGGATGTTCTAAAAAACACAGACACTCCTCTGAAGAGCTCAGCACTATTTTTCGGAGTGGAAAATGGATTGTCTGTTTACACGTGTGCCATTCTTATTCATTGTAAGTTTGTATAAACTGACAGTGTCTGAATATTTCTGAATTTAAATAATACTTTTAAAGCAATCAAAGCAGTGTCACGCTGAATTAAATGAGCAGATTCTGGGTTTGTCGTACCTGTGAGCTGTGCTCCACCTGAGTGATGACCTCTGGGTCCAGTGGTCTGTGATTGCTGAAACTCTTGGATCGCCCTGCAGGCGTGGACTTGCGGAGCTGAGGACCTTCTATCTTAGTTTTCAGAGAGGAGTGTCGGGTGATGGAGTTTAGGACGCTGTGAGCACTGACCGGTCGCTTGTCTGTCCCTTCCTTGGCCAGTCCACTTGCCGGCATGGACGAGGTCTTTAAACCCCCTGCTGCTCCGGATGAGCCCTCACCTAGTCCCTCCACTGGCCGGATTGTTCTTCGGATGCTGGGCGCTTCTGGCCGTTTCCTCATCCTAAGATGGATAAAGTGTAGGCAAAATTACATGATAATCAACATTTAGTTCATGTTTTGACACACACACACACATATACATACTGTATCTATCTATATATACTGTGTGTGTGTGTATATATACAGGGCCGGATTGACCTCTTTTCGTGACATAGGCAAAACACATTTTTGGGGCCCCCTTCCCTATTAATGTTATTTAAGAAAAAATATAATTATATTTTCAAAATGAAATTTTTTTTTTAAGCATAGTTTCTGGGGTAAAACGCCCCCAGGGGGCATGACCAGGGCCGGATTTACCTCTTTTCGTGACATAGGCAAAACAAATTTTTGGGCCCCCCTTCCCTATTAATGTAATAGGCCTAACATTAGCTACCACCCAAGCAAACAAAAATATTTCTTAATCAGTAGAAACTGTTGCAGTGTTTTCTATCGCAATAAGCGCTTGTGTTTAATCAATAAAAATCGAATGTAGTTTGAGAACTGAGAAAGACCATTCCATTAATAGGTGCAGCGTCGTGGCCACATAACTTCAGGAGTGCATTATCTCCCTAATAATTTTAACGGTCTGGAGTCACAACCACACATCAAGACATTGTTAAGATGATTTATTTCAAGACATTTGTCATGTTTCCGTCCTGAAATCTCGTGTGTGTTGAACTAATTTTTTACGTATTTTACATAACCCTTCCATTGCAAATTCCACAACGTAATTTTAGAGCTAATAACAGGAGCCATTGATATGTAGGCTAATGCAGTTATTAATGCAGTCTAACGCTCTTAGAGAGCGAGAGAGAGAGAGAGATTAAGCGCGTGTAAATACTTGCGTCTGTGCGTCTCTCAGCAGTGTTCAGCCGCAGCGTCTACTAATAGCGAATCTTTAAGTTAAACTGCTTCAAGAACCTTGCTACTGAGAAAAGTCATGTAGCTTTTCAGCTGTGAAACTATTTTATTGATAAATTCGTGGGGCAGTGCTAACAACAAGTTTCTGGTCGTGTCTCCGCGTGTGTGCGCGAGTGCGTGTGTGTGCGTCTGTGAGAGAGAACGAGAGAAAGAAAGAGTTATTTCCGTAGCCTACATAAAACAGGTGGAAGACATGGAAATACTTTGTAATTTTTACCCTATGTGTATATATATATATATATATATATGTGTATACTGTGTGTATATATATATATATATATATATATATGAATGTATATATATGTACAATTTTTCTTTTTTGCACACCATTTTTATCATACCAGATTAACAGTTAACTTACTTGTTGAGGTTAGCTAGGTAGATATCAGCTACATGACCTCCAGTGGGTGAGCTGGCACTGGCTCTGGTGGACACCTTCTCTTCCGCAGCATCATGGGAAGCTTCTAGGTCAGCTTTGGGACTTCCTCTGCCTGCATATCCATCCGGCCTATCACACAAAATCAAAGACACCTCTAGAATTCACATAAACTATGGGCGGTCTTACTGATAGTTAATCAGTTATTACTAGTAGGACACTGAATAACTGGTTAAAGAAGCAGTTCTGATCGATATCACTAATTCAAGTCAATAAACCAGACAGCTTACATGTCTTGCACTACTATGTACTGGTGCGGCACCAGTCCCTCAGTGCCGTTGTGGCGACCCTCCCACCAATCCTCAGATGCACGGTGGTACAGCAGCAAAGACGCCCCCTTCTTAAAGGAAAGCTCACGATTGGTGCGTCCAGAGTAGTCAAAACGTGCGATGGCCTCAATGGGGTCAGACTCTGAAACGTTCAAGGACCCTGACTTTACTATTTAGAGACATGAAAGACAGGGAAAGACAAAGAGAGAGAGGACAGGAAGGGGAGAAAGTGAGAAGAGAGGAAGAGCACAAGGAAAAGAGGAAGGGGTATTGCACAAGAAGCCAGGCAGGTTAGAGCACATTTATCATAACAGGTTTGGAGCTGCAGAAGGGGTGCGTGGACAAAAGAGTGCGTGAAATAGGAGCTTCCACGATGACTTGTGCTGGCGGCAACAGTGTGTCTTTATGAAAAATTTGTGCGCTTGTTAGTACGGTCTTTTGAATGGCATCTGGGCTCACCATCATCGCTGTTGTGGATTTCAGAGGCAGCGTCAGGTGCAGGTTCATCCACTAGGTGGGGCTCAATGTGTGGACTATCACTGTTGAATTGACCACAAGAAACATGCTTCAGTGAAAACCTCAATTACAGACATTAAAAATGACAACACCACAAACTTTCACCATTGCTTTAATACAGAAACCAACATTTACATACAATACACACATCTACATTAACAAGTAAAAAAGGTGATTAAAATGAAGTTGACTAAACACCTGACTTTCTCATGATCTTGAAGAACGTTTGATCTACAGCTTACAGCTTCTGCTTGAATGCTTGAAAGGTTTTTAAATTTGATTATTTTGAATAATTTTGTAGACATAAATTGTATTAAGGTATAAATTTCCACTTTAAGTTATATAATTTAGTAAATAAATTAACAAACTATTTGTTTGGGTAGATTGGATTTTTAATATGCTTTTGAAAGAAGTCTCTTATGCTAACTAAGGCTGCATATTTGATAAAAAAGGAATTTACTCTCACTTTTGATCAATTTAATGCATTCTTGCTGAATAAAAGTAAAAATAAATAAATAAATAAATACTGACCCCAAACTTTTAAACGTAGTGTAAATAAAAATAAATCAATAAATAAATACAGTAAATAAATAAAAAGTGCACAGACACAGAAAGTTTGATTAGAAGAATTTGTACCTTTTAAAAGCTCATAATACTATTTAGATTTATTATTTGTATTATTTATATTTTGTATATATTTATATTTACTATCCTTAATATGCATGATTATACGATTATATATATTATATGATTATAAATGCATGGTTTTATTATTTGTATTCACATCGTTTTCCCCCTGCTGTCCATGACCCAATCAGGACCCATTTTTGAGCCACAATTCACTATTTTCCCCCATATTTTTTTTTTTACAATATTTCATGGTTTTTACAACCTTACTATTATTCAAAAAAAGAAAAGAAAAATAGTAATCACCAAGAATGAGTAGATGTATTCAAACTTTTGACTGCTATAGTAATAATGAGAGGGAAAGAGCAGAAGAAGGAAAGCTAAATTAAGCACATGACATTGTGAATGAGAACATTTCTGAGAACCAGTTATGATTCTCTATGTCTCACTCTTCAGGCCTGAAACAGAGTGTCCATGCTTCTTTGAATCAAAACAGGAAGCAGAGCCCAGATACGAGGATCAAAGCTGGACTTTCCTGTGGCCTCTTGACTCTAAACTGAACCTGTGCTCACTCAACTCAGCTCCAGTACGGAATCTAATGTGACTAGAAAACACAGTACTAATGCACAGTAGGTCATGAGGGCCTCAGTGCTGATAACAACTCTGTTATGCCATTCACAGGCCAAGAAACCATCTAATACCCTAGTATTAATTTAGCGAAAAATCCAACTGAACAACCTGATCTCCTATTGAGCACTCAAGCAAAAACACTGCCTAATTGCCTGTTATCACTCTACTAATAAAAACCGCTCTCTCGTAACATATGCTGGAGGAAACTGTAGAGTGAAAGTACAGTGCTCTACCCAGCTGGAATATATCTCACTAAGACCATCCCGGTTTATTACATAGACAGTTGGCAAGTATGAAGCCTGGGCTAATGAAAAGCTTAGTTTCATTAGAAAGCAGCTTTAGACAGAAGGAACCTGAGGGTAATGACTGTATAATGTACTAATCTCTGCCTGGTTTGTGTAGGGAGACGCTGTCAGACAGGTTTGGCAAAGTACACGTCCATCACAGTTTCAGTGAATCTTTAAAATGACAGACTGGCCTCATTGAGCAGTTAGTTGGTGAAGTAGATCCTGTGATCCTCCTGTCACTCCATCTGAGAGACCAAGTGTAGCTTTGATCAGGGCTCTTAAGGTAAAATGATCCATGTGGCTTCTTCACCCTCGAGCAGATGAGTTTGTGTTCAGGGAGGTCAGAAGCTGCTGTGATTTTTAATGTCTTCCCCAGAGACGCTGGATATCTCATTCTGCTCTCAGCATCAGTCTTTGACAAAACTTTTACTTTAGCATTTCAAGGACACTGTGTAAAGTAAATTTCACAGTCAAAAGTCTGGGTCACTTTTTTGAGGGCATCACAACTGTACCCAAATTGTCATCATTATATAAAAGCAAAAGTATTTAGTATATATATATATATATATATACATATATATACACACACACACACACACACACACACACACACACACATATGTATATATCATACATATAACATATATCATATGTTACCTAATAACTGTAGTACTAAAATAGAGTACTAGAGTACTGTAGTACTAAACTGTAGTACTTCATTTTCTTTTTGAGATGCATTATGACATTTTTGAGATTCACTCAAAATTATTATTTTTTTGGAATAATACACACATTACTACATAAATCAAACAAATGTTTATGCTTTTTTATGCTTTTATATGCTCAATAAAATATCCGAATTTTCACATGCATCTCAAATTCAGATCTGAGGCTATAAAGATGTAAATTAAGTTCAAATACTGAATGAACAGTAATTCCTATCAGGGCAGGAACTGAGCATGCAACGTGTTAACTACAGTATGTTGTTAACGTGTCTCGACTTCACGTGACCTAGAGCCTCAGGAAGCTGAAACGAGACTCTGACTGAACTCTGAGCTAAAAACACATCATCTCGCCAGCTCAAAGTCTTAATTACACCGCCCATGCAATCTAAACAATCCCGTGCATGAAAACCACATGAAATGAGCCTGCATCTCACAAACAAACCTGACCTTTCTTTTCACGATGACACAGCAATCTGAAGTCATTTCCTCTATGACATCCAAAACAGTTTTTAAAAAGCTGCAGGAGGGCATTTCATTAGCACTTGGCCTTGAGCAGGGTAGGATAACCTTGTTTTTCATTTTAAAACAGACCTCATGATGGTGGTTTTTGAGTCTGGCTGCCTGCCACTATTTCTGGTTGCTTTCACGGTGACATCTTTTGGGAGTCTAGGTCATGTGCTGATACATGGAAACGTATCTGTGCCTTCAACCATTGAACTGACGACTTAAATGAGCATAATATACATAGGAACTTTAAAAAGTGACTGACTCCCTGTAGGGCTCTGTTGGTCTTTAATAATGTCTCTTTATCTTTATAATGCTCAATCCATCATGTCTGACTGATTCTGCATTAAATCAAGCTCGTCTGATCAACTCATTTCTGGTTTTGTGGTTCGGCTGAGCAGCTGCTTCCATAAAATGTGGGGCCAGTATTCACTGCCAATGAATTCTGCCAAGATTATGGGATTAATTTTTCATCCTTCTTTCTTCCTTTTTTTGTTTTGTAACTAAATTCACTCTAGACTCACCAGTATTCCTCAGCGGCTCCTCCACGGTCATAGATGGGCCCCTCCAGCTCACGGGGCCCTGGAAAGATGGTCTCGTGATGTATAATAATGGTTTTGATGAGCTCGTTCACATGTGCCTGGCAGGAGACTTGGTCGTGGCCCTCAGGCACAGACATGAGTGTGGGGCCGAAGCAGATAGCCAGGTTGTAGGGGTCCATCATGTTATCATCACTGTACTGGGACAGACTAGTTAAAAGAGAGAGAAAAATACAGAGTAAAAAAAAAGAGGATATGAAAAGTCCGCTCAAATACTGTTATAATATCGTTATTTGTTCCTGTTTGCAATAGCACTACTGTGATGTAACATGGTGTAGTATTGCTGTACTGAGCAACGCTGGTAAAATGACGCTAAACGTTAAATATGATTATGTTGCATAGAACTGAATAAAAGTGATATATTGATATTTCATAGTAACATATTTTCGGTCCAATTTTTTTTACTTTCAATAAAAGTGTGTTCTTTATTGGCTTGTATTTTTTAAATTCATTATCACTAAAATTATTGAGTTAAATTAAAAAGTCTTACAATAAAATATTAAATAATTATTAAAAAGCATTTTCGGTTTTCGGCCCAGAACTTTCATTTCAGTGCATCCCTAACAAATTATTGTATGCAAATTTAATGTCAATTATTACATTCAATTATTTTATTATATACACAGGAATCACCTTTTCTGGTGCCAGCCATACCCCTTTGCCTTTAATATTTATTTGAATTTTAAGTTAATATTTTAATAACAAGAACACATTTGCATGTTCACTGCTCTCTGATATTGTTAATGGTTACATGACATGCAGGTAAACAAATAAACAAATAAAATAATAAAAAAATAATTAAAAGCTAATTTGAATATCTACTAAAACACAGCAAATGATTGGTTTCCCACAATTCCTCACTCAACCTCACACACATCACAAAATATTTTGTATCGTTTGTAGTAAGTGTTGTATCTTGATTGTTTTTATTTTATGAATATTTATTTTAATAAAAAAAAACTATTAATTATTAACTTTCCCAAGGTTTTATAAACCCCAATTTGGGAAACCCTGACTTACTGTGCATCAAAATTTGCTGAGAAAAGCCTATATTTTGGCAATTATGTTTCTTCTTGCTTTTTTTGGATGCTGTGTCAAGTTAAAAGAAATTAAACTTCCGTCTTGACACACCTGCATTCTGTCCATCTTTTTATTAACCCAAGACTATCTTAGATAAGAAATATCGCACAAAAACATTAAGATGGCACTTTAACTGCTCCGAAGAAGATTTCTTAATAATTAATTAATTCATAATGAATAAAGTCCTAAAAATAAAAATTATAAATAAATAAACAAATATAGAAAAAAATAAGAACTATACTTAAGAACATTTCTATTTCTATATATTAACAACTGATGCATGGCTTGAAGTGCACCAAATATTAAAAAAAAACAACAACAACAAAAAATGTACAAAATAGTCATACTATCCAGAAACATGTTAAAATGATCCTTGATCATATGACTATTCTCATGGAGAGACCAGCTCCTGCTGGACTAATGTGAAAAACAGATTGAGCTCCAGACTGAATCTCTAGCTACACTTCCTCGCAACAGCTCATTTATCATGAGCCTAAGCCAGCTTTCTACCATTTATGTGTGTCTGTGAGACTGCTCTGAATTGTTACACCTTTTTATTTGTTCCTTTCTTACTCCACAGTATGCCCGCTTCATTCGATTACCAAAAACTTGGATGTGTCCAAAATGTTGGGAGAGGTGTCCTTAACCGTAAGTGTTTTTGGGGTAACGGGGGGTTGGGATAAAAGCAGTAGGGGCTCCAAACCAAATTTATGGGCGCCGTCCTGCCCAAACAGTATAAGAAGAAGCATAAGAGCTTCAAATGACCTATCTCTCCTTGTTTATTTCTGACTACATTGCCGTCTAAATGAGATCTCTTGATGTGTATTTGTGAGTGTATGCCATGCATACCTACGAACGATGCACATGATTGGCTGTAATGAATGCTAGAGCGCATTAGAGAGAGCGGCAGTTCTTCAGAGTCCTATTCTGGCACCTCCATTGACTTTTATAGCAGAGGAAAGATCTATCGGCCGTAGAGCAAACAGAGAAGCCATTCACCCAGGGCTACAGACATCCAGCATGGGAGCACTAATGGTGGCTTGATGGCGACACCATATTTCAACACACATTCGCTTCCCCCTTCTGGCTGTGATACGAGGGCTGGAAAGGGTTCAGATGCTTTAGGAAAACCAGACACGCCTGCGTGCACAACGGCAGGGTTGGAGTAGAAACTAAGATCGTGTTGTGGTCTGGAGGGTCTTTCAAAAGGACCACAGGGTGGAAAAAAGTGGAAGAACGAGAGGCAGAGATACGGAGGGCTTGAGTGCTGTAGCCCTCAGCTGAGGTTGGGTATAGGCCAACCTTCTCTTTTTGGTAAGAGAATATTTCAATTTGTAGTAAAAAGGTCTTGTAAAATGGTAAGTTTAGACTGTACATAAGCTTTTTGTATGCTGGGCTAAGGTTAGCTGTAATAAATCATGGTAAATTGGCGCTGGTTTAAAGGAATCGTTCACCCAAATAATTCTAGTCATCATTTACTCACCGTCATGTTGCTCCAAACCGCTAACTTTATTTTTATTCCTTTATTCACTGAAAATCTCATACCTTCAGGGATGCAAACTCATCAGGGGTAAAAAAAAAAATGTGACGAATGGACATATGTTATGCTATTAAAGCATACAGCTTTTTTGCCAGAAAAATTTAATTGAATAATAACGTAGTAGTTTATGGAATTACTTGGAACACTGATCACAAGCCATATGGACCAAATTTAATTAAATTAAAGGAGCTTTTTTGTCCTTTCCTTTTCATATGGAAAAGAGCACCTGGGACATTCTGTAAAACATCTACTTTTGTGTTCCCTGGACATAGGAAAGTGATACAGGGTTGGAAGGACATGAGGGGGAGTAAATGATTGTCACAGACCTTGTCTTGAGTTAAAAATCACAGGCAAACAAAAGAACCCAATGACTTTGGTGGGAAAATTCATTCCAGACCAGCTCTGATCGGTTGAACTTACTGGCTGAGGAAAGCGAACAGGTATCGCATGATAACCAGGATGTTGCTGGGTAGAGACAGCAGGACTTTGCAGATGTGGACAGCTCTGTCCTGGAGGTTCTCCATGGCTGGAAAAACAACATGAACAAGAAACGAGTTTATTTAGGACAAAAGCTTCTCCATTGTCTAATCTGGTCTGCAGTGCGCACGTGTACCGTGGGTGTAGAAAATAAAGCGGACACTCACAGACACAGGACATTAGGTCATGGAAGACTTCCTTAGGAAAGAGGGCGTTCTCCAGGCCTCTGAAGTAGAGCTTTAACACTCCAGCAATGGAGTCCATATCATGATCGTTTTGGTCCCCAGCCAGCGGGTCCTCACCTGAGACACAAGAAAGAAAGAACCCTTTAAGAATGCAGACTTGATTAGAAATAGATAAAAGAAGGCTCAGCATATGTCCAGAGAGACTCACCTCTTTCAAAGGCGTTCTTAATATCATTGACTTCCACTTGAGAGCCGGACACCCTGAAAATGCCCTCATGATGGAGACCTATACAGACACAGACATGACGTTATGGAATCTCAACTAAGCTGTTTTACTGAATCTTCAGCATCATGGCAAAAAAAAAAAAAAAAAAAAGTTTAAATTTTAGTTTGTCC